CTGTTGGGTTTAAGGGTTGTAACAACATTGGCAATATTGTTGAGTTAAAGGGTTGTAACAACACTGGCAGTATTGTTGGGTTAAAGGGTTGTAACAACACTGGCAGTATTGTTGAGTTAAAGGGTTGTAACAACACTGGCAGTATTGTTGGGTTAAAGGGTTGTAACAACACTGGCAGTATTGTTGGGTTAAAGAGTTGTAACAACACTGGCAGTATTGTTGGGTTAAAGGGTTGTAACAACACTGGCAGTATTGTTGGGTTAAAGGATTGTAGCAACACTGGCAGTATTGTTGAGTTAAAGGGTTGTAACAACACTGGCAGTATTGTTGGGTTAAAGGGTTGTAACAACACTGGCAGTATTGTTGGGTTAAAGAGTTGTAACAACACTGGCAGTATTGTTGGGTTAAAGGGTTGTAACAACACTGGCAGTATTGTTGGGATAAAGGGTTGTAACAACACTGGCAGTATTGTTGGGTTAAAGGGTTGTAACAACACTGGCAGTATTGTTGGATTAAAGGGTTGTAACAACACTGGCAGTATTGTTGGGTTAAAGGGTTGTAACAACATTGGCAGTTTTGTTGGGTTAAAGGGTTGTAACAACACTGGCAGTATTGTTGGGTTAAAGGGTTGTAACAACACTGGCAGTATTGTTGGGTTAAAGGGTTGTAGCAACACTGGCAGTATTGTTGGGTTAAAGGGTTGTAGCAACACTGGCAGTATTGTTGGGTTAAAGGGTTGTAACAACACTGGTAGTATTGTTGGGTTAAAGTGTTGTAGCAACACTGGCAGTATTGTTGGGTTAAAGGGTTGTAACAACACTGGTAGTATTGTTGGGTTAAAGGGTTGTAACAACACTGGCAGTATTGCTGGGTTAAAGGGTTGTAGCAACACTGGCAGTATTGTTGGGTTAAAGGGTTGTAACAACACTGGTAGTATTGTTGGGTTAAAGGGTTGTAACAACACTGGCAGTATTGTTGGGTTAAAGGGTTGTAACAACACTGGCAGTATTGTTGGGTTAAAGGGTTGTAACAACACTGGCAGTATTGTTGGGTTAAAGGGTTGTAACAACACTGGTAGTATTGTTGGGTTAAAGCTTTGTAACAACACTGGCAGTATTGTTGGGTTAAAGGGTTGTAACAACACTGGTAGTATTGTTGGGTTAAAGGGTTGTAACAACACTGGCAGTATTGTTGGGTTAAAGGGTTGTAACAACACTGGCAGTATTGTTGGGTTAAAGGGTTGTAACGACACTGGCAGTATTGTTGGGTTAAAGGGTTGTAACAACACTGGCAGTATTGTTGGGTTAAAGGGTTGTAACAACACTGGCAGTATTGTTGGGTTAAAGGGTTGTAGCAACACTGGCAGTATTGTTGGGTTAAAGGGTTGTAACAACACTGGCAGTATTGTTGGGTTAAAGGGTTGTAACAACACTGGCAGTATTGTTGGGTTAAAGGGTTGTAACAACACTGGCAGTATTGTTGGGTTAAAGGGTTGTAACAACACTGGCAGTATTGTTGGGTTAAAGGGTTGTAACAACACTGGCAGTATTGTTGGGTTAAAGGGTTGTAACAACACTGGTAGTATTGTTGGGTTAAAGGGTTGTAACAACACTGGTAGTATTGTTGGGTTAAAGGGTTGTAACAACACTGGTAGTATTGTTGGGTTAAAGGGTTGTAACAACACTTGTAGTATTGTTGGGTTAAAGGGTTGTAACAACACTGGCAGTATTGTTGGGTTAAAGGGTTGTAACAACACTGGCAGTATTGTTGAGTTAAAGGGTTGTAACAACACTGGTAGTATTGTTGGGTTAAAGGGTTGTAACAACACTGGCAGTATTGTTGGGTTAAAGGGTTGTAACGACACTGGCAGTATTGTTGGGTTAAAGGGTTGTAACAACACTGGTAGTATTGTTGGGTTAAAGGGTTGTAACAACACTGGTAGTATTGTTGGGTTAAAGGGTTGTAACAACACTGGTAGTATTGTTGGGTTAAAGGGTTGTAACAACACTGGCAGTATTGTTGGGTTAAAGGGTTGTAACAACACTGGCAGTATTGTTGAGTTAAAGGGTTGTAACAACACTGGTAGTATTGTTGGGTTAAAGGGTTGTAACAACACTGGCAGTATTGTTGGGTTAAAGGGTTGTAACGACACTGGCAGTATTGTTGGGTTAAAGGGTTGTAACAACACTGGCAGTATTGTTGGGTTAAAGGGTTGTAACAACACTGGCAGTATTGTTGGGTTAAAGGGTTGTAACAACACTGGTAGTATTGTTGGGTTAAAGGGTTGTAACAACACTGGCAGTATTGTTGGGTTAAAGGGTTGTACCAACACTGGCAGTATTGTTGGGTTAAAGGGTTGTAACAACACTGGCAGTATTGTTGGGTTAAAGGGTTGTAACAACACTGGTAGTATTGGGTTAAAGGGTTGTAACAACACTGGCAGTATTGTTGGGTTAAAGGGTTGTAACAACACTGGTAGTATTTTTGGGTTAAAGGGTTGTAACAACACTGGTAGTATTGTTGGGTTAAAGGGTTGTAACAACACTGGCAGTATTGTTGGGTTAAAGGGTTGTACCAACACTGGCAGTATTGTTGGGTTAAAGGGTTGTAACAACACTGGCAGTATTGTTGGGTTAAAAGGTTGTAACAACACTGGCAGTATTGTTGGGTTAAAGGGTTGTAACAACACTGGCAGTATTGTTGGGTTAAAGGGTTGTAACAACACTGGCAGTATTGTTGGGTTAAAGGGTTGTAACGACACTGGCAGTATTGTTGGGTTAAAGGGTTGTAACAACACTGGCAGTATTGTTGGGTTAAAGGGTTGTAACAACACTGGCAGTATTGTTGGGTTAAAGGGTTGTAACGACACTGGTAGTATTGTTGGGTTAAAGGGTTGTAACAACACTGGCAGTATTGTTGGGTTAAAGGGTTGTAACGACACTGGCAGTATTGTTGGGTTAAAGGGTTGTAGCAACACTGGCAGTATTGTTGGGTTAAAGGGTTGTAACAACACTGGCAGTATTGTTGGGTTAAAGGGTTGTAACGACACTGGCAGTATTGTTGGGTTAAAGGGTTGTAGCAACACTGGCAGTATTGTTGGGTTAAAGGGTTGTAACAACACTGGCAGTATTGTTGGGTTAAAGGGTTGTAGCAACACTGGCAGTATTATTGGGTTAAAGGGTTGTAACAACACTGGCAGTATTGTTGGGTTAAAGGGTTGTAACGACACTGGCAGTATTGTTGGGTTAAAGGGTTGTAACAACACTGGCAGTATTGTTGGGTTAAAGGGTTGTACCAACACTGGCAGTATTGTTGGGTTAAAGGGTTGTAACAACACTGGCAGTATTGTTGGGTTAAAGGGTTGTAACAACACTGGCAGTATTGTTGGGTTAAAGGGTTGTAACAACACTGGCAGTATTGTTGGGTTAAAGGGTTGTAACAACACTGGTAGTATTGTTGGGTTAAAGGGTTGTAACAACACTGGCAGTATTGTTGGGTTAAAGGGTTGTAACAACACTGGCAGTATTGTTGGGTTAAAGGGTTGTAACAACACTGGTAGTATTGTTGGGTTAAAGGGTTGTTAACAACACTGGCAGTATTGTTGGGTTAAAGGGTTGTAACAACACTGGCAGTATTGTTGGGTTAAAGGGTTGTAACAACACTGGCAGTATTGTTGGGTTAAAGGGTTGTAACAACACTGGCAGTATTGTTGGGTTAAAGGGTTGTAACAACACTGGCAGTATTGTTGGGTTAAAGGGTTGTAACAACCCTGGTAGTATTGTTGGGTTAAAGGGTTGTAACGACACTGGTAGTATTGTTGGGTTAAAGGGTTGTAACGACACTGGTAGTATTGTTGGGTTAAAGGGTTGTAACAACACTGGTAGTATTGTTGGGTTAAAGGGTTGTAACGACACTGGTAGTATTGTTGGGTTAAAGGGTTGTAACAACACTGGCAGTATTGTTGGGTTAAAGGGTTGTAACGACACTGGTAGTATTGTTGGGTTAAAGGGTTGTAACGACACTGGTAGTATTGTTGGGTTAAAGGGTTGTAACGACACTGGTAGTATTGTTGGGTTAAAGGGTTGTAACGACACTGGCAGTATTGTTGGGTTAAAGGGTTGTAACGACACTGGCCCGATCACACCTACTCCTCAAACCATAATCTTGACTTTCCCTCTTATTCCATTACATTCCACTTATTCATCAGTCTAACAGTAAATACTACGTCCTGACATCTCTTATGACTCACTTGCATCTTGAAGTTGAATGTGTTATCCCTGGTTCTATCTCCTCACATCCCAAACAACCTAGTGTGGCCCGGTGGCCTGGTGGCCTGGTGGCTAAAGCTCCCGCTTCACACACGGAGGGCCAGGGTTCGAATCCCGGCGGGTGGAAACATTTCGACACGTTTTTACACCTGTTGTCCTGTTCACCTAGCAGCAAATAGGTACCTGGGTGTTAGTCGACTGGTGTGGGTGGCATCCTGGGGGACAAGATTAAGGACCACAATGGAAATAAGTTAGACAGTCCTCGATGACGCACTGACTTTCTTGGGTTATCCTGGGTGGCTAACCCTCCGGGGTTAAAAATCAGAACGAAATCTTATCTTATCCACTCTATCTAACCCTATGTATGTATGTATATATGTACTTACCTAGTTGTACTCACCTAGTCGAGGTTGCAAGGGTCGAGTCCTAGCTCCTGGCCCCGCCTCTTCACTGTATATATGTATAGATAGATAGATATTATGAAAATTAAATGTAAGTGTTCAGAGTATTACTCACCTATATGAGGTTGCAGGGGTCGATACACAGCTCCTGGCTCCCATGTGTGTGTGTGACGTCAGAGTGCCACAAGCCAGAACCTGTACTCCCTACGTCACTATCACGCACAGGTTGCTACCTGTCCACCACGCTATCACACACACACACACACACACACACACACACACATATAAGCAACCTTGGACCGCCTTCTAGTCAGTCAATACCCAACACCAGCAGCAACAGGGCCTCCACTGCTGCCTCGTAAACACCTCTCCTGACTACCACACTACTAAACTCTCCAGTAAACTTACTTACACCATACTCACAGTCTAGATATAAGTAAGTTTATTGAGGCACAGGTACATATAAGTACACTTATCACACATAGTTTAATTACTTAGGATAATATCGTAGACAACTGGGTTTGATTACGGGGAAGTAATGTATTTGGTCACCTACAATTAATTAGGTACCTGGGTGTTAGTTGGCTGTTATAGTGGCATCCTGGGCAGTAAGTAGGTACCTGGGTGTTAGTTGACTGTTATGAAGGCATCCTGGGCAGTAAGTAGGTACCTGGATAATAGTTGACTGTTATGATGGCATCCTGGGCAGTAAATAGGTACCTGGATGATAAATGACTGTTATGGTGGCATCCTGGGCAGTAAATAAATACCTGGGTGTTAGTTGACTGTTATGGGTGCCATCCTGGGCAGTAAATAGGTACTTGGGTGTTAGTTGACTGTTATGGTGGCATCCTGGGCAGTAAATAGGTACCTGGGTGTTAGTTGACTGTTATGGTGGCATCCTGAGCAGTAAATAGGTACCTGGGTGTTAGTTGACTGCTATGAGTGGCATCCTGGGCAGTAAATAGGTACTTGGGTGTTAGTTGACTGTTGTGGGTGGCATCCTGGGCAGTAAATAGGTACCTGGGTGTTAGTTGACTGTTATGAGTGGCATCCTGGACAGTAAATAGATACCTGGGTGTTAGTTGACTGCTATGAGTGGCATCCTGAGCAGTAAATAGGTACTTGGGTGTTAGTTGACTGGTATGAGTGGCATCCTGGGCAGTAATTAGGTACTTGGGTGTTAGTTGACTGTTATGAGTGGCATCCTGGGCAGTAAATAGGTACTTGGGTGTTAGTTGACTGTTATGAGTGGCATCCTGGGCAGTAAATAGGTACTTGGGTGTTAGTTGACTGTTATGAGTGGCATCCTGGGCAGTAATTAGGTACTTGGGTGTTAGTTGACTGTTATGAGTGGCATCCTGGCAGTAAATAGGTACTTGGGTGTTAGTTGACTGTTATGAGTGGCATCCTGGGCAGTAAATAGGTACTTGGGTGTTAGTTGACTGTTATGGTGGCATCCTGGGCAGTAAATTGGTTCCTGGGTGTTAGTTGACTGTTATGAGTGGCATCCTGGGCAGTAAATAGGTACTTGGGTGTTAGTTGACTGTTATGAGTGGCATCCTGGGCAGTAAATAGATACCTGGGCGTTAGTTGACTGTTGTGGGTGGCATCCTGGGCAGTAAATAGGCACCTGGGTGTTAGTTGACTGTTATGAGTGGCATCCTGGGCAGTAAATAGGTACTTGGGTGTTAGTTGACTGTTATGAGTGGCATCCTGGGCAGTAAATAGATACCTGGGCGTTAGTTGACTGTTGTGGGTGGCATCCTGGGCAGTAAATAGGCACCTGGGTGTTAGTTGACTGTTATGAGTGGCATCCTGGGCAGTAAATAGGCACCTGGGTGTTAGTTGACTGTTATGAGTGGCATCCTGGGCAGTAAATAGGCACCTGGGTGTTAGTTGACTGTTATGAGTGGCATCCTGGGCAGTAAATAGATACCTGGGCGTTAGTTGACTGTTGTGGGTGGCATCCTGGGGCTGAGCTTAGGAATGAGCTTAGGAATGAGCTTAGGAATGAGCTTAGGAATGAGCTTAGGAATGAGCTTAGGAATGAGCTTAGGAATGAGCTTAGGAATGAGCTTAGGAATGAGCTTAGGAATGAGCTTAGGCAGGAGAACTCTCCCTCACTTCAGATCCAACAATATAATAATTAATAATAAAATAACTGAAAAATAACAGTCCAATAATTCGCTAAATTTCAATAGACTTGAAATTACTTTCTAATTATTGTATCCAAGGAAAGAATTTACAAATGTATTGCTAAGCCAAACATTTATTGTGTCCAACAGCTGGAGACCAACAGCAGCAGCAGCATGTCGCCTAATGCCTTCACTAACAGGCAGGTAAGTCAGCACCCTCTGACATAATTATAGCATATGATATCCTTATTTGACTACATATATACCATGGATATACCAATGTATACCATGGATATACTAATATATACCATGGATATACTAATATATACCATGGATATACCAATGTATACCATGGATATACTAATATATACCATGGATATACCAATGTATACCATGGATATACCAATGTATACCATGGATATACCAATGTATACCATGGATATACCAATGTATACCATGGATATACTAATATATACCATGGATATACCAATGTATACCATGGATATACCAATGTATACCATGGATATACCAATGTATACCATGGATATACCAATGTATACCATGGATATACTAATATATACCATGGATATACCAATGTATAACCATGGATATACCAATGTATACCATGGATATACTAATATATACCATGGATATACCAATGTATACCATGGATATACCAATGTATACCATGGATATACCAATGTATACCATGGATATACCAATGTATACCATGGATATACTAATATATACCATGGATATACCAATGTATACCATGGATATACCAATGTATACCATGGATATACTAATATATACCATGGATATACCAATGTATACCATGGATATACCAATGTATACCATGGATATACCAATGTATACCATGGATATACCAATGTATACCATGGATATACTAATATATACCATGGATATACCAATATATACCATGGATATACCAATATATACCATGGATATACCAATGTATATCATGGATATACCAATGTATATCATGGATATACCAATGTATATCATGGATATACCAATATATACCATGGATATACCAATGTATATCATGGATATACCAATGTATATCATGGATATACCAATGTATATCATGGATATACCAGTGTGTTGCAACATGATTCCAGTCAACACTAACTGGTAATATATCCCACACTATGTCGTGCAGGTCAGTGCCAGGAGGAGAGTGATAGTGTCACTTGTCAGTAAGTGCCAGAAAGGAAGTGCCAAGGTGTCGAGCAGGACATCCATCACGTCGACTCACACACGATCACTCAGATACCGTCTAAACTCGACTGGAAAGAAACTCGTAAGATATCTTGAAGTTACATTTGTCTTAATAATAATAATAATAATAATAATAATAATAATAATAATAATAATAATAATAATAATAATAATAATAATAATCGTTAGTTCCCTACACTTACAGGTTAAGATATTTAAGTGTGTGGAAGAGGGTGACTTGAAGCGTCTACAAGACTTACTGCTGGTGACAGGACCAGCAGTGTGCAGACAGCAGACAGGCTGGTCTCTGCTGCATGCAGCAGCAGACAGCAACCAGCCAGAGGTGTTAAGCTTCCTGCTGAAGCTTATCAGTCCCAATATTGTCAACAAGGAAGGTCAGACTCCAGCTCACCTGGCTGCCCTCAAGGGTCACACACAAGTGCTGAAGATATTGCTGGCTGACGAGGACTTCAACCTTAACAAACGTGATAACCACAACAGAACCTTCAAGGACCTGGTTAGTTCTTTCTTTCTAAATCTAGAATCTGCTAGAAAAGATATTAGACCTATCATAATATAACCTTAACAAACGTGATAACCACAACAGAACCTTCAAGGACCTGGTTAGTTCTTTCTTTCTAAATCTAGAATCTGTTAGAAAAGATATTAGACCTATCATAATATAACCTTAACAAACGTGATAACCACAACAGAACCTTCAAGGAAACATTAAAATGGTATAAAATACCGACAGGTTGTTAGGTAAGACACATATGCAACAGTTAGGTATCTTTATTATGAAACGTTTCGCCTACACAGTAGGCTTCTTCAGTCAAGTACAGAAAAGTTGATAGAAGCAGAAGATACTTGAAGACGATGTAATCAGTCCATCACCCTTAAAGTTTTGAGGTGGTCAGTCCCTCAGTCTGGAGAAGAGCATTGTTCCATAGTCTGAAACAATATGGAGAAGAAGTGACAGGATGGAGCTTTTTATAGCGCCAAGAGGTGAGACGTAGGACCTGGTTAGTTCTTTCTGTTAGACTCTGTTAGCTATGTCTTTCGTGAGGCATTATACTCTGCAACTGCCGTTATAAATATGTTGACGATAAGCAATGTTATAATGTGGTTGTAATGACAGCTTGCTGCACCGCTGTTCGAGGCTGTACTGTGGTGGGATACCAGCAAGATACAGCACTTGTTACAGCTGGGTGCTGATCCTGACTACCACGCTGGTCACCTGGTACAAGGAGCCTTGACCAGGGAACTGCAGGTGACTACACCTCGTCACCTGGCTCTCAGCTTACTCCGGGAACCTATCTTTGACAACTTTCCTCAGGTATGACTTACTGTCACTATGTACCCGGACGCTTCTAGGTAGGTAGGTGCTTTGATTTGGCTGAAGGGCTCTTTATCCAAGGAATTAGAGCAGTACTTTTCTACTTAGTAAATATAACAGCACCAGTGTGTACCACACACACGAGTTATCACTCGGTTTTTCGGTCAGAATTAAAGCCATCTTCAGAGCGACGAAAAACTCATATTAACCCATTTTTTCACAAAATGGGTTAATGTACATATATTAAACTCTCTTATAAAAATTCGTCTATATTTCCAACTTTTTTTGTGGATAACTAAATTATAATTAACGCTTCCTAATGTTCAATAACAAAATACATATATATCTCGATTCCCTTCTGGGATCCTCTTCAGTTGAAGAGGATCCCAGAAAGGGATCCAGATCTATTGATCTATCGCGTTTCTGTGTGTTATTACTGAGCATGTCTGTGTTGACAGAGAGGAACACCTGAGAGAGTCAGTGAACAGAGAGACGAACACAGCTCCGACGACACCATCTCTGGCACCCCATTCAACTTACTCCCGGTAAGACTCTTTTTCCCATAAACTATTGTAGAGAACACTCCCTTGTGAGCCTAGCCCATGAGGGTTTACCGCATCTTCATAAATATAAGAGGTTCAGCTTAGGATCTGATATACGGTGTCTTAAGGGATGATGTAATTCACTGACACTGCATAACCTTTATAAGTTAAACAATTCCCAGTGAATATAATAATAATAATAATAATAATAATAATAATAATAATAATAATAATAATAATAATAATTATATGTATCGACTTAAAGATCATTCTTTGTTATTAGATTGGTCCACTGAGGCTGAATGTAAGACCAGCATCGGTCCAGACGTCAGATCCAGACGTCTACAGGATGGACACAGATCCTAGAGGATACGTGTGTATCCTAAGCTACAGTTCCTTCCAGGAGCGACCTGACCTGGTCCTTGAGGGGTCAAACTCAGACGTCAAGAACCTGTCAAACGTCTTCGGCAAAATGGGTTACACTGGACACTCACATTGTTCCTTGACAGCACAAGAGACCAAGCAAGTGTTGACCAGTGTCAGGGAGATGCAGCTCCTGGACCGTGTGGGTTGTGCGGTTTTTATTATATCAAGTCACGGCATTGGTAACGAGAAGTTCCTAACAAGTGACATGAGGGTTTTGAGCACTCAGTGGGTATGTGAACTTTTTAAGGACTCAGAATGCCCAGGGTTGAAAAATAAACCCAAATTATTTATCTTTGACTTTTGTTGTGGTTACTACAAGGAGGAGAATGTTAGAAGAAACAAGAGAGTCAAGTATACAAGAGTAGAGGAACCCCTACAGGACACAGTGTGTCTGTACTCAAGCAGTGGAAGTTTTACCTCGTACTCCTTTACTAAGGAAGGTACTGCCTTCAACACTGCTCTGTGTCGCACTCTGGCACAACACTCCCATCATCACGAACTTGCTGACTTGTACAGACAGTTACTCAAGGAGTGCACCAACAACTCTTACACAGGATCACCACAGCTACATAACTTCGGCTTCACCAAGAAATTCTTCTTTAACCCAATACATTGAAAAACCCGTCAGAAATTATATAGTTATTACACTTCAGGTTGATGACATAGATCTTCATCAATTCTACTTCAACTCTGTATCTCATTCTAACACAGCACAGCCAGAACACTGATCTTGCTGGCTCGGCTTTCCTGGGTTATCACGGGGTATTAAAACCCCTCCGGTATCTTCAAACACAGTGTCAGTGTTCGGTTCACAACTATATAGACAAGGGTTTTAAACTTGGGCGAAGAGGTGGCCCATGGCCTGGTAGGCAAAGCTCTATCTTTACCTGCTGAGCGTCCGAGTTTGATTCCCGACAAGGATGGAAACATTGGGAGTGTTTCCTTACATCGGTTGTCCATGTTCACCCATCAGTAAAATGGGTACCTGGTGTGGGTGGCATCCTGGGTGTTAGTGGACTGGTGTGGGTGGCATCCTGGTGTTAGTGGACTGGTGTGGGTGGCATCCTGAGTGTTAGTGGACTGGTGTGGGTGGCATCCTGGGTGTTAGTGGACTGGTGTGGGTGGCATCCTGGGTGTTAGTGGACTGGTGTGGGTGGCATCCTGGGTGTTAGTGGACTGGTGTGGGTGGCATCCTGGGTGTTAGTGGACTGGTGTGGGTGGCATCCTGGGTGTTAGTGGACTGGTGTGGGTGGCATCCTGGGTGTTAGTGGACTGGTGTGGGTGGCATCCTGGGACACTAACCTAATTTGCCCGACATGCGGAGCATAACAAGGGACTTTCTATGTAGTAGTATGTCATTGTTGTCAGCTAGGACTGTATACCATGTACATGTACTTGTAGTAAATAAAGATATTATTATTATTATTATTATTATTATTATTATTATTATTATTATTATTATTATTATTATTATTATTATTATTATTATGTATTTTAGTTTGTACACAGCAGGAGAGACTCTAGCGGGTTCGATACGGCGTATGGCGTCAGTGGCCCTATAAACACCCAACAAGAAGACTAATCCTTTGAGAATCTTAGGACGCTAATTAATGATCCTCAGTTGTTTATATGAAGTTTGAAACCTATCTGCTACATGCTGGAGGATGTTTAACCAGTTATGGGTCATTATCTGACAGAGAACCATGTCAGGATGTACTTGTTTCCTGACAAACACCGGTGGTCTGGTGGCTAAAACTCCCGCTTCACACACGGAGGGCCCGGGTTCGATTCCCGGCGGGTGGAAATTCCGACACGTTTCCTTACACCTGTTGTCCTGTTCACCTAGCAGCAAATAGGTACCTGGGTGTTAGTCGACTGGTGTGGGTGGCATCCTGGGGAACAAGATTAAGGACCACAATGGAAATAAGTTAGACAGTCCTCGATGACGCACTGACTTTCTTGGGTTATCCTGGGTGGCTAACCCTCCGGGGTTAAAAATCCGAACGAAATCTTATCTTATCTTATCTTATCTTACATTATTCAAACATCTGTAAGGATCCTTCATTACAAAAATTTAGAAATAAAACTGTTATATATCTGATTCACGTTTTATTAAGGTAAACACAAGAAAATGGAACAAATAATTGCAGTACGATTTTGTATCAGTGTAACAACAATGATGTCAGAATTTAAGGAAAACACGACCAGTGTTTTCATCCTTGATGGGGATCGAACCACGGATATTTAGTTTGTGAAGTCAGAGCCAGTTGTAGAGAACCAGTTGAAGTTGAGAACCAGTTGAAGTAGAGAACCAGTTGAGGTTGAGAACCAGTTGTAGAAGAGAACCAGTTGAAGTTGAGAACCAGATGAAGTAGAGAACCAGTTGAAGTTGAGAACCAGTTGAAGTTGAGAACCAGTTGAAGTAGAGAACCAGTTGAGGTTGAGAACCAGTTGTAGAAGAGAACCAGTTGAAGTTGAGAACCAGATGAAGTAGAGAACCAGTTGAAGTTGAGAACCAGTTGAAGTTGAGAACCAGTTGAAGTAGAGAACCAGTTGAAGTTGAGAACCAGTTGAAGTAGAGAACCAGTTGAAGTTGAGAACCAGATGAAGTAGAGAACCAGTTGAAGTAGAGAACCAGTTGAAGTTGAGAACCAGTTGAAGTTGAGAACCAGTTGAAGTTGAGAACCAGTTGAAGTTGAGAACCAGTTGAAGTTGAGAACCAGTTGAAGTTGAGAACCAGTTGAAGTAGAGAACCAGTTGAAGTTGAGAACCAGTTGAAGTTGAGAACCAGTTGAAGTTGAGAACCAGTTGAAGTAGAGAACCAGTTGAAGAAGAGAACCAGTTGAAGTTGAGAACCAGTTGAAGTAGAGAACCAGTTGAAGTAGAGAACCAGTTGAAGTTGAGAACCAGTTGAAGTAGAGAACCAGTTGAAGTAGAGAACCAGTTGAAGTAGAGAACCAGTTGAAGTTGAGAACCAGTTGAACTAGAGAACCAGTTGAAGAAGAGAACCAGTTGTAGAAGAGAACCAGTTGAATTAGAGAACCAGTTGAAGAAGAGAACCAGTTGAAGAAGAGAACAAGTTGAATTAGAGAACCAGTTGAAGTAGAGAACCAGTTGAAGAGAACCAGTTGAAGTAGAGAACCAGTTGAAGAGAACCAGTTGAAGTAGAGAACCAGTTGAAGAGAACCAGTTGAAGTAGAGAACCAGTTGAAGAGAACCAGTTGAAGTAGAGAACCAGTTGAAGAGAACCAGTTGAATTAGAGAACCAGTTGAAGTAGAGAACCAGTTGAAGTAGAGAACCAGTTGAAGTAGAGAACCAGTTGAAGTAGAGAACCAGTTGAAGTAGAGAACCAGTTGAAGTAGAGAACCAGTTGAAGTAGAGAACCAGTTGAAGTAGAGAACCAGTTGAAGTAGAGAACCAGTTGAAGAGAACCAGTTGAAGTAGAGAACCAATTGAAGAAGAGAACCAGTTGAATTAGAGAACCAGTTGAAGTAGAGAACCAGTTGAATTAGAGAACCAGTTGAAGTAGAGAACCAGTTGAAGTAGAGAACCAGTTGAAGTAGAGAACCAGTTGAAGTAGAGAACCAGTTGAAGTAGAGAACCAGTTGAAGTAGAGAACCAGTTGAAGTAGAGAACCAGTTGAAGAGAACCTGGAGTACCTGGAGTTTACCTGGAGAGAGTTCCGGGGGTCAACGCCCCCGCGGCCCGGTCTGTGACCAGGCCTCCTGGTGGATCAGAGCCTGATCAACCAGGCTGTTGCTGCTGGCTGCACGCAAACCAACGTACGAGCCACAGCCCGGCTGGTCAGGAACTGACTTTAGGTGCTTGTCCAGTGCCAGCTTGAAGACTGCCAGGGGTCTGTTGGTAATCCCCCTTATGTGTGCTGGGAGGCAGTTGAACAGTCTCGGGCCCCTGACACTTATTGTATGGTCTCTTAACGTGCTAGTGACACCCCTGCTTTTCATTGGGGGGATGTTGCATCGTCTGCCAAGTCATTTGCTTTCGTAGTGAGTGATTTTCGTGTGCAAGTTCGGTACTAGTCCTTCTAGGATTTTCCAGGTGTATATAATCATGTATCTCTCCCTCCTGCATTCCAGGGAATACAGGTTTAGGAACCTCAAGCACTCCCAATAATTGAGGTGTTTTATCTCCGTTATGCGCGCCGTGAAAGTTCTCTGTACATTTTCTAGGTCGGCAATTTCACCTGCCTTGAAAGGTGCTGTTAGTGTGCAGCAATATTCCAGCCTAGATAGAACAAGTGACCTGAAGAGTGTCATCATGGGCTTGGCCTCCCTAGTTTTGAAGGTTCTCATTATCCATCCTGTCATTTTTCTAGCAGATGCGATTGATACAATGTTATGGTCCTTGAAGGTGAGATCCTCCGACATGATCACTCCCAGGTCTTTGACGTTGGTGTTTCGCTCTATTTTGTGGCCAGAATTTGTTTTGTACTCTGATGAAGATTTAATTTCCTCATGTTTACCATATCTGAGTAATTGAAATTTCTCATCGTTGAACTTCATATTGTTTTCTGCAGCCCACTGAAAGATTTGGTTGATGTCCGCCTGGAGCCTTGCAGTGTCTGCAATGGAAGACACTGTCATGCAGATTCGGGTGTCATCTGCAAAGGAAGACACGGTGCTGTGGCTGACATCCTTGTCTATGTCGGATATGAGGATGAGGAACAAGATGGGAGCTAGTACTGTGCCTTGTGGAACAGAGCTTTTCACCGTAGCTGCCTCGGACTTTACTCTGTTGACGACTACTCTCTGTGTTCTGTTAGTGAGGAAATTATAGATCCATCGACCGACTTTTCCTGTTATTCCTTTAGCACGCATTTTGTGCGCTATTACGCCATGGTCACACTTGTCGAAGGCTTTTGCAAAGTCTGTATATATTACATCTGCATTCTTTTTGTCTTCTAGTGCATTTAGGACCTTGTCGTAGTGATCCAATAGTTGAGACAGACAGGAGCGACCTGTTCTAAACCCATGTTGCCCTGGGTTGTGTAACTGATGGGTTTCTAGATGGGTGGTGATCATGCTTCTTAGGACCCTTTCAAAGATTTTTATGATATGGGATGTTAGTGCTATTGGTCTGTAGTTCTTTGCTGTTGCTTTACTGCCCCCTTTGTGGAGTGGGGCTATGTCTGTTGCTTTTAGTAACTGTGGGACGACCCCCGTGTCCATGCTCCCTCTCCATAGGATGGAAAAGGCTCGTGATAGGGACTTCTTGCAGTTCTTGATGAACACAGAGTTCCATGAGTCTGGCCCTGGGGCAGAGTGCATGGGCATGTCATTTATCGCCTGTTCGAAGTCATTTGGCGTCAGGATAACATCGGATAGGCTTGTGTTAATCAAATTTTGTGGCTCTCTCATAAAAAAAATCATTTTGATCTTCGACTCTCAGTCTGGTTAGCGGCTTGCTAAAAACTGAGTCATATTGGGACTTGAGTAGCTCACTCATTTCCTTGCTGTCATCTGTGTAGGACCCATCTTGTTTAAGTAGGGGCCCAATACTGGACGTTGTTCTCGATTTTGATTTGGCATAGGAGAAGAAATACTTTGGGTTTCTTTCGATTTCATTTATGGCTTTTAGTTCTTCCCGCGATTCCTGACTCCTAAAGGATTCTTTTAGCTTAAGTTCGATGCTTGCTATTTCTCTGACCAGTGTCTCCCTACGCATTTCAGATATATTGACCTCTTTTAGCTGCTCTGTTATTCTTTTCCGTCACCTGTAAAGGGAGCGCCTGTCTCTTTCTGTTTTACATCTACTCCTCCTTTTTCTTAGAGGAATAAGCCTTGTGCATACATCGAGTGCCACCGAGTTAATCTGTTCTAGGCATAAGTTGGGGTCTGTGTTGCTTAGTATATCTTCCCAGCTTATATCGGTTAGGACTTGGTTTACTTGGTCCCACTTTGTTTTTGTTATTGAAATTGAGTTTGGTGAATGCTCCCTCGTGACTAATCTCATTATGTCGGTCTGGGGCTCCGTGCATACATGACTGAACCTCGATTATGTTGTGATCTGAGTATATTGTTTTTGATATGGTGACATTTCTTATCAGATCATCATTGTTAGTGAAGATGAGGTCTAGTGTATTCTCCAGTCTAGTAGGCTCTATTATTTGCTGGTTTAAAATGAATTTTGTGCAGAGATTTAAAAGCTCACGTGAGTGTGAGTTTTCATCAGAGCTGCCTCCTGATGTTATTACTGCAACAATATTATTTGCTATATTCCTCCATTTTAGGTGCCTTAAGTTGAAATCCCCCAGGAGCAAGATGTTGGGTGCAGGAGCTGGAAGGTTTTCCAGACAGTGGTCAATTTTTAACAGCTGTTCCTGGAATTGCTGGGATGTTGCATCCGGAGGCTTGTAGACTACCACAATGACTAGGTTTTGGTTCTCGACCTTTAATGCTAAAACTTCCACTACATCATTTGAGGCATTTAGCAGTTATGTGCAAACAAGTGACTCTGCAATGTACAGGCCAACCCCCCCCCCTTTTGCCTGTTCACTCTGTCACATCTGTATAGGTTGTAACCTGGGATCCATATTTCGTTGTCCAAGTGATCCTTTATGTGGGTCTCAGTGAAAGCCGCGAACATTGCCTTTGCCTCTGCAAGCAGTCCACTGATGAAAGGTATTTTGTTGTTTGTTGCTGGCTTTAGACCCTGTATATTTGCAAAGAAGAATGTTATCGGACTGGTGGTATTGTTGGTACTGGGGGGGGGATGTCAGCTAGACTTGTGCATGTACTTGTATAAATAGAGATACTATAATTAGTATTATTATTGTTGTTATTAATAAAGAAATAAGTTGTGAGTGGCCCTTAGAGCCTCAACAACAAAGATACTATAATTAGTATTATTATTGTTGGGTTATTAATGAAGAAGTAAGTTGTGAGTGGCCCTTAGAGCCTCAACAACAAAGATACTATAATTAGTATTATTATTGTTGTGTTGTTATTGAAGAAGTAAGTTGTGAGTGGCCCTTAGAGCCTCAACAAAAAAGATATAAAATTATATTATTATTTTTGTGTTGTTTTTAAAGAATAATTGTGTGGCCCTTAACCCTCAACAACAAAAACTATAATTTATTATTATTTTTGTGTTTTTATTGAAGAAGTAATTTTGGATGGCCTTAGAGCC